ATTACAAACATTTTAATTCGTCACAGAAACAAAAGGCACATTGATATGAAATCTCATATGTGTATAATTGAGGATAAATAAGTATATAATTTTTGAGACTAATAAAATTAATACTGGAAATTAAAAAATGCAATAAGGTAAATTTATTTACCTTAATAGGATATTCAAATCCTACAAGTATAAATTTTATTACTACCCAAAACACTCTATACTATCTCGTGATCATCCGAAGCCAATCAAAGAAAAGGAACCCAGCATTAAATGCATTTAATGCAAAATCGTACACTGACCCAAGGCATGGGATGAGCAGTCAAGTGGAAAGCCTAAAGGAGAAAACTGCAGCGGCTAGACAAACAAAGAGAAAGATGTTATCGGCTCTAAACAAGAAGACAAGCAACAAGTTGTTATCTTCTGAAACCAAGATTCAACGGACAGGATTAAATCATTTCAATCGACGGATGATATTAATCTATCGGAGACGCCTATAAATAAAGGCCGAAGCATGAGTTAGCAAATCAAGTTCTTGAGCTCAAAAGCAGAGAAATCATATAAGCATTCAAAGAATATCTAGCAAAAGAGAAAGTGTTCGATCATAACTTCACTCTCTGCTTTGACTCATGCTTCACTAAGCTCTTAGATTAGATCATCACTTTCATATTTTTAGAGCTTAGTTTTTAGTTGGTGACCAGAATTTTCTTGTAATTTACAAGGTGTTATAAACACTTCAGGAGGACAGTTATTCCCGGCCTGAGCGTGGTTAAATAGATCAGGAGTACCTTTTGATCCCCACTAGATCAATTGAGAAAAACCTAAAGGATTGAGTAACTTGGAGTGGTGTTGTACTCCTCGTGAAACACCTTCAATCTAAGTCAGAGTTGTCAAGGCTAGATTGGCACTAAGTATATTGGGCATAATACATTAGTGAAATCCATTTGAAATGGGATGAGACTGGATGTATGAGGATTACACCACCTCCGAACCAGGATATATTGTGTGTTGATTTATTTTCAGTCAACATAGCACACACCCAACACTTCTCAAATAAAAGAATCGTAGTTTGGTAGCAAAATCCTAAGCAGTAGTCTTTATTGACTTTACTGCTTATCTTACTGCTTAATAACTTACTTTTTCTTGAGACAACTGTTTCACAAGAGCTTCAGAACATCACTACTAAAAGGTCTGTTTTGACAGTTCTCAGAACACACCCCTCAAACGCAGCAGGTGCCTCAGTAGTTACCTAATACTACCCAACTGATGAGACCCTGCTCAAGCAAAAACACCTTAACATCTCCAGCTCATCACACATTAAGTAAGCCCTCATCACTCTGTATAAGGTCAAATCATCTCTCCCAAACTCCTATTTTCCTCTAGCAGTTGCTTCAACAGTTCCCTGCCATCCAGGCAACTGCCAAGCCATTCCCTGCCAACTGCTCATTGTCTGAAGTCCAAACATCATTCAAGCTAGAAAGTTATCACAAACTAATCATAAACAGGTTAGGCCATGTTTGGTTGGAGGGTTTCGGAGGGGAGGGAAGGAAAGTGGGGGACTTGTGTGTATTTGGTTGAAGGAAATAGGGGAAGAGGAGGAAAGTGGAAGGCTTTTAAAATCCTCCACTTCCTTCCATTCTAAACCTCCCAAATCGGGGTATTTCAGAGGAAACGTGTTGATAACCACAAACTATACATCTCCTACGTGAATGAACAAAATGTTATAATATAAAAAGGCAAAAAACAAAAAGTTTTGAAAAATTAAAAAATTAAAAAATTAAAAAATTTAAAGATTAAAAAGATTAACAATTAAAAATTTTAAAAATTAAAAAAAAATATTAATTAAAATTTTTAAAAATTAAAAATAAAATAACTTAAAAAATAAATATAAAAATTAAAAAAATCCAAACTGAAAAATGAAAAATTATAAAATTAAAAAAGTAAAAAATCAAATAAAATAAAATTATGACTCATGACCATAGGAGTAATATTCACAATAGTTAGACATGTATCTATTTTTTTAAGTAAGCTATCAAATAAAAGCAAATTGCGAAAATATTTTCATTAAACATTTCCTCCTATTTCCTCCAACCAAACACAAATTTTTATCAAAATCCTTCCTTCCCCTTCCCTTCCCTTCCCTTCCCTTCCCTCCTTGACTCTCCCCTCCTCTCCCCTCCTTTGAAACAAACAAGGCCTTAAAGACTTCCGATGTGCATCTATAAATCTCCCAAAAGATTATAGATCAACTCATCTAGAAGGGAAAAGTTTTTAAAGATTGCAAGAGCTTTAAAAGTCTATTCACCCCCCCCCCCCCCCCCCCCACCCGCTCTAGACTTTTACCTCTATCTGGGACCATCAATTGGTATCAGAGACAAGTGTTCCTAGAGTCAGTTTTTGACTAATTTGAACTAAAGATCCAAAACCACTCTACTTCCCAAAACACTTTCTAAAAATGGAATCTCTTGTCCAACCAGAACAAGTGTGATGACTGGAAAATTAAGGACATCTGGGATGAGCTCACAATAAGCCAATCAGTTGATGATCAAAGCAGCTCAAGTGATGAAAGCAGTTCCTCAGAAAGCGAGGAAGAGACTCTGATTTGTCTCTATGGAATGCACCAAGCTGAAAACTCCTCCAACAACTGCTTTATGGTCAGACCCACTAATAATGATAATGATGAGGTATTATCTTGTTCTTCAAATAGCTCATATAATTTCAGCTGTTCCAGTGTAGACATGGAAGCTCTATTCCATCAATTTGAAAATTTTCAAAAGGATCACCTTCTTTTAATGAACGAAAACTATAGACTTCAAGAAAATCTAATAATAACTCAAGCTCAAATGGGTGAAGTGATAAAAATGAAAGATTTTCTTGAACTTGAAAATATCAGTTTAAAAGAAAGACTGAGCTCCCACTCTCTCCCTATTGCTGAGGAAGTTCAACACAACTGGAAGAACACAGGATTAGGATACACACCTTTATCCCAACCATTGAAAGACTCTCTCAAATAATCCCTTATCACAGAACACACCACAAGCCAACATGACACAAGAAAAACAAACCAACAAAAAACTCACTCCCAAACTGTCAAATATAAGGAATCAGTCCTCTCCCATATCAAAAACCAAACTTCCTTACAAACCCAACTTCCAAAATAACCAACCAAATCAAAGACTTGGTTGGCAACCAATCAAAAAGACCAACAACTTACCAAAGAAAAAGCTGATCACTTCCAATACACTTATTCTTTCCCCAACCATAAGGAATAATGATCACAAATATGTAGACATTCCTTTTGATTACAAAACTCCAAATGGCTACAGACCCATCAGCTCAAATTCAAATGGTCCTAGATGGGCATGGATGCCCAAACACATTCAAAGGAAGATGCCCACTAACTTGTGGGCTACTACTCAAAATTGTTAGATAATGGAAGGTGCTAAAGCAGCTAAATTTGCAAAAATGATATAAATTATTCAGGCTGTTCCATGCATATAACAGGTAGCAGGGGACTACTGTCAAGTTTCTAAATCTGGAGAAGGACCCAAAATAATATTTGGGAATGAGGAAGAAAAAGGAGAAACCAAAGGAGCTGGAGAACCCAATGAAGAATGAACTTTCAATCCATAAACATTTGGGATTAAAGTTCAAATCTTATCAAGCACAAGCCAGCTCTGCAACAACGTTTACAATGTGACATTCTCCATGGACATCTGCTTGGTCAGAGATGTCTAAAACAACAAAGTTGTGTTAACTGGTAGAAGAAAAAAGGATATGGATAGCCTTGAATGAAGCATCATAAAAGAAGAAATCTGCCCCATAACCAAAGCAAATTCAAACTTGATGAAGAAGATGTTCAAAAAATTTCATCAAAAAATTCCACCGGAAACGGCCCCAAATGGCAACGGCCAGACAGAACCTCTTATAAAAGGGCTTGTTTTCACTTTTTATGAAAGTTCGAGGGCTTATTTGGTAGTTCTCCCTTAGATACTTGATTAGATGCTAATACAAATTTCAACTTGATGGATCTCCATTTTCCTAGTTGTTAGAATATACATATTTAATAGTCAATATATTCTATGTATATATATGGTAGCTAATATATTCTCTGCGATAGACTAAATATTCTAGGTAAATCTGACAGATTTAGTTTCCTTTTTGTATTCCCTAGCTTGTATGTATTTATACTGGCCATACCTAATGATAATGAAGAGTGATTTCATTGCATCTTTAATTCTTATACTCAGTTTACATGGTATCAGAGACACACAGGTTCTTCGGGTAGTACTTCCCAAAGTTCAACTCTGCTCCCTCCCTCTGGTTCGATTCAGCTCTCTTTTGTGCGGCACAGGACGTTGTTCGCAGGCGCAGGCGTGGTAATCCGGATAGTGCAGAACAATTGTCGCAGGTCTGATTTTCTGGACACTATCTTTACTATTTGCACCAGTTCTCTTACCCTGTTCTTGTTATCACTCTTGCCCTAGTTGTTTGCAAGCATGGGTGATGATAAGAAGAGTGTGACTGAGATTACTGTCGGTAATGCTAGAATTACCGAGAGAAAACTGACTGGTAGTAAAGATTACGGGCAGTGGAAACGGACTATTACTAGATACGTTAATAGTCTTGATCTGGGAGATCATCTAACTGAAATGGCTCCTCCAAGAAGTAATCTTGATGAAAGAAAAAAATGGATGATGGCGGATGATAGGTTGTTCAATCAAATTCAGAATACCCTGGATCCTTCTATTGATAGTATCATTACTCATTGTGATACTGTCAAAGAAATGTGGAATACTTGGAGTCTATGTATGCCAGTAAACAAGATCTCTCTTATGTTCATCAATTACTGGTGCACTACTATAGACCGGAGATGAGGGATCAGACGTTGTTTCAATACTATAATGAATGTAAACAGATTTTTGAGGAAAAGCGGTCCCGATTCCCTATTACTGCTGATGTTAAGAGTATGCAAGAACAAGAGGAGCGAACATTTGTTCATGGTGTTTTGGCTGGGCTTGGTTCACAATATGAGGTATCAAGGAGTCAAATACTGTCAGGTGGGACCCTTCCTAGTTTTTCTGACCTCTATGGACGTCTCCTTCCAGTGTGCAAAGATGGAGAATCCAGAATGATGAACTCAATTGATACTGCTGCCTTAGTCAGTGATGTGAGCCATGGTAAAAGGACCAATTCAGTCACTACTGAAGGGACTCGTAATTCTTCTCGCACATGTTATCACTGTGGAGCTGAGGGTCATGTGAAGAAGAATTGCTGGAAATTACATGGTCGTCCACCACAGACTTCTGGACAGTTTCCTCCCAGGCGTGTTGCTAATACGGTTATCCAGGATGGTATCCTACCAACTCCTTCCACTGTTACTATCTCAGTCGATGAATATGCTCGGCTACAACAACTTTCTCTCACAGCCTCATCTGCCACCACACAAGTTGATACAGGTAATCCAGCTGCATGCCTCTCTACATCATCACGCAATTGGGTGATCGATTCTGGCGCAACGGACCATATGACTGGTAATGAAAGTATTTTGGATTCATTTACCTCTTCTGCTAACCAGTCTCATGTTACTTTAGCAAATGGATCAACCGCATCTGTCAATGGCCTTGGAACAACAACTCTTTCTCCAAACCTTTCTCTATCTTCTGTTCTATATTTATCTCAATTTCCGTTTAATTTAATCTCAGTCAGTCAGATTATTAAAGCCCTAAACTGCTGTGTTATTTTCTTTCCCACTCATTGTCTTTTTCAGGATCTTGGGACGAAGCAGATTATTGGTAAAGGTAGACTGGTTAATGGCTTATATGTTTTTGAATCCTTGGTGCCGAGATCAGTTGCATGCACAAGTTCGTCTCTGTTGAAAGTTCACTGTCAATTTGGTCATCCGTCTCTTTCTGTACTACAAAAAATGTGTCCTAGTCTATCACGGGAGTCTGTTTTGGAGTGTGAAGCATGTCAGTTTGCTAAGCATCATAGAACAAATTTCCTTCCTCGAATAAATAAAAGTGTTGAGTCTAGTTTTGATTTAGTTCACACTGATGTGTGGGGTCCTTGTCCTGTCGTTTCCAAACTTGGTCATCGTTATTTTGTTACATTTGTGGATGATTTTTCACGGGTTACTTGGCTTTATCCTTTGAAATCCCGATCAGATGTGTTTACTGCATTTTGTACCTTTCATGCTGAAATTCAAACTCAATTTAATAAGAATATACGCATTCTGAGAAGTGATAATGCTAAAGACTATCTATCTAGCACTTTTCAGACTTACTTATCTCGCCATGGGATTTTACACCACACTTCTTGTCCCTATACACCTCAACAAAATGGTGTAGCTGAACGAAAGAATCGTCACCTACTAGAAGTAGCTCGAGCCTTAATATTTCACATGGGGGTTCCTAAACCATTTTGGGTAGACGCTGTTTCCACTGCGTGTTACCTTATCAATCGTATGCCTTCCTCTGTTCTTAATGGTCAGATTCCGTACTCCGTTTTATTCCCCTCTCATTCCTTGTTCTCTCTTGTGCCTCGTGTGTTTGGTTGCACATGCTTTGTCCAGGATATGCGTTCCCAGGTCTCAAAACTTGATCCTAAATCAATCAAGTGTGTTTTTCTGGGTTATTCCTGGTTACAAAAAGGAAATTGATGTTATTCTCCTTCATTGGGACGGTATATTATCTCTCCAGATGTCACATTTTTTGAAGAAACACCCTTCTTTCAGCATAGTTAATCTTCATCATCTTCTTTGGAACTCTCTAATGATGAGTTTCTAGTCTATACCACCAGCCAGCTAGAATCTGTCCCCCCCAATCAGACTTCTCCATCAACTTTCCTTCCTCCTCCACCTCCTCCACCTCCTCCCCTTAAAGTTTACTCTCGTCGTGTGCGCCATGTGACTACGGCACCTACTATGGCTACCAGTGTACCGCTGCCATCTTCTGCTTCGCCTCCAGATTCTGCTCCCTCCGACCTTGATCTCCCAATCGCCCTCCGAAAAGGTACTCGTACTTGTACTTATCCTGTTTCTTCCTTTGTTACTTATAATACATTGTCATCTTCTTCCAAGAGCTTTATTGCTTCTTTAGATTCTATTGTTGTTCCTTCAACTGTTTCTGAGGCCTTGACTCATCATGGTTGGCAAGAGGCAATGCGAGAGGAGATAATGGCTCTCGACCAGAACCACACATGGGACCTTGTATATCTTCCACCCGATAAGAAAGCTATTGGGTGTAAATGGGTGTTCACTGTCAAAATGAATCCTGATGGTTCGGTTGCTCCTTTAAAGGCACGGTTAGTAGCTAAGGGTTATGCTCAAGCATATGGTATAGATTACTTTGACACCTTCTCTCCTGTTGCCAAACTTACATCCATTCGATTGTTTATCTCTTTGGCTGCTACTTACAATTGGACACTCCATCAACTTGATAATAAAAATGCCTTTTTGAATGGTGACCTTAGCGAGGAAGTGTACATGGAGCAACCACCAGAGTTTCTTGCTCAGGGGGAGTCTGGAAAGGTATGTAAATTAAGGAAATCGTTGTATGGTCTGAAACAATCCCCACGAGCTTGGTTTGGCCGTTTCAGTGCTGCAATATTTAAATTTGGCCTACGCAGGAGTGCCTATGATCACTCAGTTTTCTTCTCTACCTCAAATTCTGGATGCATTCTATTAGTTGTGTATGTTGATGACATCGTGATCACTGGCAGTGATGCGAGTCGTATTTTGAAACTGAAAGCTTTCCTTTCTACTTGCTTTCAGACCAAAGATCTTGGGCCCTTGAAGTACTTCTTAGGGATAGAAGTCTCACGTAGTAACAAGGGAATTTACTTGTCTCAAAGAAAATACTGCCTAGATGTGCTAAATGATGCAGGTTTGGTTGAGGCAAAACCGTGTGATGCTACGATGATCCCAAATGTAAAGTTAACAGCTGATGAAGGCGACTTGCTGGAAAATCCTGAGGTATACCGAAGGATTGTTGGGAAACTGAATTATTTGACTATCACCCGGCCTGATATTGCTTTCCCGGTTAGTGTGGTCAGTCAGTTTCTATCCACTCCACGAACATCACACTGGGATGCAGTTACTCATATCCTAAGATACTTGAAGGGGGCTCCAGGGCGTGGGATACTATATCAAAACCACGGACATCATGTTATTGAAGGGTTTACTGATGCGGATTATGCTGGAAACCCTAATGACCGACATTCCACCACTGGTTACTGTGTCTTTGTTGGAGGAAACCTTGTATCTTGGAAAAGTAAGAAGCAAAATGTTGTTTCTAGATCAAGTGCAGAATCTGAATATCGAGCTATGGCACAGACTACATGTGAGCTGGTTTGGCTTCAGCATTTGCTTGGTGAACTTGGATTTACTCAAACAGAACCCATGAGATTATGGTGTGATAATCAAGCGGCTATCCATATAGCAAATAATCCTGTTTTCATGAAAGAACAAAACACATCGAAGTTGATTGTCACTTTACTCGAGAAAAGGTAGAAGATGGTACAATTTGCACTTCACACATCAAAACAGGAAACCAACTGGCAGATGTGTTCACCAAGGCTCTACCAGGGACACGTATCAATTTCATCTGTACCAAGCTGGGCATGATTAATATCTATGCTCCAGCTTGAGGGGGAGTGTTAGAATATACATATTTAATAGTCAATATATTCTATGTATATATATGGTAGCTAATATATTCTCTGCGATAGACTAAATATTCTAGGTAAATCTGACAGATTTAGTTTCCTTTTTGTATTCTCTAGCTTGTATGTATTTATACTGGCCATACCTAATGATAATGAAGAGTGATTTCATTGCATCTTTAATTCTTATTACTCAGTTTACACTAGTTTTAAATGTAAAATTTAAGAATCTATTTCTCATTTACTCCTTATTTGTCTGAACGTACAATATATCCGAACATCATATTGTATTAAAATGTCTACTTTTTTGGGAGGAGTGGACAAGCTAAACTCGTACAGATAAATAAAGACAACAAGAACAATAATGATTTTTGAAGTCAAGGTTAAACTGGGATGATAAATAACATTTGAAGGAAGAGCACACCGATCACACCTAGGTGAAATTTCCAACATAGTCAATGCTCCTTCGACAAAAGTAGCTAGTGAGACTGCACATTAGAATATGGATCTGCCCATCGCTAAGTGATTGTCAATTCTCCCCACCATCCCGACTTCCTTCAGCAGCTGCCAGTGATTCAGCCATCATTTTTTCTCTATTTTGCATTTGTCTTTCAACACAAACCATATAGATGCCTACACAAGCATGTAATAGTTTATTAGCATCAATACAAGTGCCATTAAAACGACAAAGAGAAGCTAGCTATGGACTATGGTGTCATGCACCGCAACCAGATGCATTTTATTCCAAGTAACCACATTGACAGTGTTGGATGTGCACGGTTATGCACATGCGAGCGAGGCTCTTTTTTCATTGGTACTATTAGAGAGACAATTCACAAATAGCTTATAATGAATCATAAAGCAGAGTATCCAATGAAAAAGGATGGTATATAGTATCCAAAACTATGAGGACATTGCATTTTTTTGCAGAATAAATCTTGTGCATTGAATTCAGGATCTAATGGCTCAAGATAAGCCAACAATGCAATAGATTTGATAAAAAATGTGGTGACAATTTCATAAATAAATCAAACTAGTGCACCAACCCGCACGGGTAGCTCAATTGGTTGAGTGGTGGGAGATTTGGATCAATATACCAAGGTTCGAATCCCTGCAGCGACCGGGTGGAGATCACAGAACCTGAAATAAGGTTGGGCCTCTGGTGCGCACGGGTGTATGGGCCTACTGCCATTCTGCTGACTGAGTCACCGTGATTAACCTCCCCACCATCCTGTCGGGTGGGGGGCTCCTGGGGTGGGAGATTCCACCTTTTTGGATCAATCAAACTAGTGCACCAGAAACATGAAATAGTGCATCGCATTGAGTGAAAAGTGCAACCGTTACACTTTACACAGGAACCCTACTTTTTATTTGAACTCTTCCCTACTTATATATGCACAAATATTCTTGTCATGAATTTTCTGACCGGAACACCGTCTGATCACCTCCATGTGAGGTGCTTCCGGATGGAAATTTTTATTGAAATTTTGTGATCACGTTTTTAATGAAATTTAGATTTTGTCCACCAAATTTCAGCTTAAAATTCAATCAGGAAGTCGGTTAAATAAATTATTGAAAAACACAACGATTTTCCATCTTTTGGCACAGTGTTTTCAATAATTTATTTAACCGACTTCTTAATTCAATTTTAAGCTGAGATTTAGTGGATATAATCTACCCTTCATCAAGAACATGTTCACAAAATTTCATCAAAAAATTCCGCTCGGAAGCACCTCAAACGGAGATGTCCAGACGGCTTTCCGGTAAGGATATTCATGAGCAGAAGATTACCATATATACACACACACAAATATTACTTCATAAAAAAAATAAATATATATATATACACACACACAGATATATAATTTTAATTATTATTTTTTTTACTTGATTTTAACATTTAAATTATTGGATATAAAGTGAAGACAAAAAACCATATCATTATACATGATCTAACTAATAATGTAATTAGCCTGGGTTGCAGCATCGGAGCATCCCAAAGTTCAATAACTAATACGCAGCGGATGGGAGGCCTTGTGCCCACTAAGGTTTTGGCAGCAATATTTTGCTGGGTTCTAGGCAGAAGGGGAATGACGAGTAGGAATTCCCGAGCGTCAGCTTTAGGGTTTACAAGGCATAAGGCGACGATAGTCATTTTGGTGATTGGTGAAACCACACGCAATAATGAAAACGGGTTCTACAGAGCAGATGCAAGTCGGAATGGATGATTTGGAGCTTGAAGGGGTCTTGAAGCGCTGACCAAAAGTGAAGGGGTCTCGAAGCTTAAATTGGCAATTCCATTGGCCCATCCCCCTCCAGAACCACCGCAATGGAGTGAACGAGTTGTTAGGGTTTGGAAGATGACGCTCCAAGTTGGGATTTGGCTGCCTGCAGTTTTCTATTTTCATTTTAACCCAAGCTTTTTATTTACTTTGTTAGAAAATTCCTATGGTTTTTATTGTTTACTACGTTAAGTGTATCCCATTATTACTCACCCCTTTATGGACAGTCTATTACATGAAACATTGTTTCGAAAAGCTATCGAGGCTCACATCAAAGCAGATTAGCAGAGCTATAGAAAAACTGTCTTGAGGCTCCAACTTCTTAATTTACACCTCACCAAGGAAAGGCTAGCCGCTAGCCTGATCAGGCATCTCAATAAGACTCCCATCAAAAGGTTTTGGAAACTAGTCAGATTAGAAACAAAAAACTGAACCCAACTAATAACCTAGAACTGTAGACATTTATTCTCTACCCAGTTGCTTTCGTTTCTCCTGTTCTCTAATGATTGGGATGCAGCTGAAATGAATAAGGAGGATAAATACTTAGGCCGGGTTAATTCTAGAAGGAGTAAATAGAATAGTTAGTTGATTGTTATTTTCGGTTGTTGCTATTAACTACCGTCAGTTATATGAGGAGCTTATAAATAGAATAAGGCTGGGGAAAGGAAGGGTAGGTTGTTTGACTATAGTAGTCTGGACTGGTAAAGTTAGAGATTAGTCGTCTCTTTCTTTTGGGGGCTTCGGTCATTGTTACTGTCTTTCTTCAATAAAGTTTGCAGTTCTTGTTCTTGATATTTCTTTGTGAATTTTATGTAAAATTGGTTAGTTCTATCAGTGGTATCAGTGGATGAGCGTAACGCGCGCGAAAATGGAAAGTCGACTGACAGAAATGGAAAGGAGTCAACGGAGATGCAAGCAAGTATGGAAAGAAATCTGATGCAAGTATGGAGATGCAAGCTAATATGGCGGCGAATCTGGCGGAAAGTATGGCCGCGATGCAAGCGGCTATGCAAGCGACGATGCAAGCTAATATCGCAGATTTGCATAACAAAATTTCAGGTCGATCGAGGAGTCATTCGCATCGATCAAGTACTTCGCATTGTACGTCTCACCACAGACATTCAAGGAACGATGACAGTTCTAAAGGTTCAGATAATCATCATCGACATAAGCGACTTTCAGCTAG